CTCCAAAAACTGGGTGTTCCCTGTTGTTTCTGCTGGCCTTCTAGGAGAAGGGCCAACTGCACTGATTCTCAGGTGTCTTTGCCTGGGCAGATTCTCACAACACCTTGCCAGAGGCTGGGCTCAGTGTAAGCTTTCTGATTGCTCTATGTGGCTTTTGTTCACTGAAGACCCTCTGTACCTCTTTGGAGGATGAAAATAAAAGTGGCTGCATGCCAGTCTCCAGCCCTGGAGCTGAAAGATCACAGCCCCTTCTCTTCAGCAAATCTTCAGGGATAAGCAGGATTCTTTACCTCTTTGGTTAGGTTTATTCTAATGTATCTTATGGTTTTGGGTGCAATTTAAATAGGATAGACTCCTCAATTTCTCTTTTTTCTGTCTCATTGTTAGTTGATAGAAATGCAACTGGTCTCTGTGCATTGATTTTATTTTCTGCCATGTGGCTGAATTCCTGTATCAGTTCTAGCAATTTGGGAGTAAAGTGTTTGGGGTTTTCCACATGAGGTATCATGTCATCAGCAAAGAGTGAGAGTCTGACTTCTTTGCTATATTGAATGCATTTTATTTCTTTTTGTTGTCTGACTGCTGAGGCTAGGACTTCCAGTTCTATGTTGAACAAAAATGGTGAGAGTGGGCATCCCTGTAATATTCCTGACCTTAGAGGAAAAGCTCTGTGTTCCCCCCATTGAGAATGATATTCACTGTGGGCTTTTCATAGATGGCTTTTATGACATTGAGATAGTTTCCCTCTATGCCTACACTGTGGAGAGTTTTAATCAAGGAACATACTATGTTTTGTCAAATGTTTTTCTGCATCAATAGAAAAGGACATATATGTTTCTTGCCCTTTCTTTTATTAATGTGATGTATTACATTGATTGGTTTGTGAGTGCAGAACCACCCTTGCAGCCCAGGAATAAATCCCACTTCGTTGTGGTGAATAATCCTCTTAATGCACTGTTGGATCTTACTGGCTACTATCTTGGTGAGAAATTTTGCATCCATGTTCATCAGGGGTTATTGCTCTGTAATTCTTCTTGGTGGGGCCTTTGGTTTGGAGATCAAGGTAATGCTGGCCTCATAAAATGAGTTCAGAAGTTTTCCTTCCATTTCTATTTTTTGAAACAGCTTCAGAAGAATAGGTATTATTTCTTCTTTAAGTGTTTGGTAGAATTCCCGTGGGAAGCCATCGGCTATCGTCTCTATTTGGTTGGGAGATTTTTTCTTACTACTTCAAATTTCTTCCTCGTTATCAGTGTGTTCACATTTTTTATTTCTTCTTGTTTCAGTTTTAGTACTTTATACATTTCCAGAAATGCAGCCATTTCTTCCAGATTGCCTAATTCGTTGACGTATAGTTGCTCATAACATTTAAGTAAAATTATTTGTATTTCCTTAGTGTTGAGCATGATCTCTCCTCTTTCATTCATGATTTTATTAATTTGGGTCCTTTCTCTTTTCTTTTTGATAAGATGGCTAGAGATTTATTGATGTAATTAGCTCTTTGAAAGAACAAGCTTCTAGTTTCAGTGATCTGCTCTACACTTTTGGATTCTATTACATTGATTTGTGCCCTAATCATTATTTTTTCTTCTGCTTGGTGTAAGTTTTTTTTTGCTGTTCTTACTCCAGCTCCTTTAGTTTAAAGTTAGGTTGTGTATTTGAGACCTTTCTAATTTTTTTGAAAAAGGCTTGCATTGCTATGTACTTCCTTCTTAGGACAGCCTCTGCTGCATCCTAAAGGTTTTGAAGAATTGTATTTTCATTTTCATTGGTTTCCATGAAGCTTTTAAAATCTTTAATTTCCTGCTTGAACCATTCATTCTTTAGGAGGATGCTCTTTTACCTTCAAATGTTTGAGTTCCTTCCAAACATCCTCTTGGAATTGAGTTCAATTTCAAAGCATCATGCTCTGAATATATGCTGGGGATAATCCCAATCTTTTGTTATGGGTTGAAAAACAATTTGTGATCCAGTATGTGATCTATTCTGGAGAATGTTCCATGTGCACTTGAGAAGAATGTGTATCCTGTTGCTTTAGATGGAATGTTCTGAATATATCCGTGAAGTCCATCTCATCCACTGTGTCGTCCATTGCGCTGTTTCCTTGTTGATCTTCACTTAGATGTCCATTATAAATAGTGGGATATTGAAATTCCCTATTATTGTATATTATCAATGTGTTACTTTAATTTGTTTATTAATATATTTATATAAATCACTGCTCCCAAGTTAGAAGCATACATATTTATAATTGTTAGATCTTCTTATTGGAAAGACCCTTTAATTATGATATAATGTCTCTCTTCATCCCTTCCTACAGACTTTGGTTTAAAATCTGATTTTTCTGACATGAGGATTGCCAACCCAGCTTTCTTTTGATGCCCATTAGCATGAAAATTGTTTTCCAACCCCTCACTTTCAATCCTGAGGTGTCTTGGAGTCTAAAATATGTCTCTTACAGAAAGCATATTGATGCCTCTTGCCTTTTTTATGTAATCTGATATCATGTGTCTTTCAGTTAGTCCATTTAGCCCATTTCATTCAGAGTAACTATTGAAAGATATGAGTTTTGTGCTATTGTATTCCTGTAAAGTCACTGATTCTATAGATTGTCTCTGTTCTTTTCTGGTCTATGTTACTTTTGGACTCTCTCTTCACTTAAAGAATCTCCTTTAATATTACTTCCAGAGCTGGTTTAATGATCAGAAATTCTTTGAATTTCTGTTTTTCCTGGAAGTCTTTTCTCTCTCCTATTTTGAATGATAGCCTTGTCGGATAAAGTATTCTTGGCTTCGTATTTGTCTTCTTTAGCACTCTAAATATATCATGCCAGCCATTTCTGGCTTGCCAGGTCTCTGTGGATAGGTCTGCTGTGAGTCTAATGTCTCTACCTTTTTAGGTTATGACCTCTTGTCCCAAGCTGCTTTCAGGATTTTCTTTTTGTCTCTGAGATTTGCAAGTTTCATTGTTATGTGTCAAGGTGTTGACCTACTTTTGTTGATTTTCAGGGGGGTTCTCTGTGCCTCCTGGATTCAAATGCCTGCTTCCTTCCCTAGATTAGGGAAATTCTCAGCTATAATTTGCTCAAATATGCCTCATGGACCTCTCTTTCTTTTCCTCTGGGACCCCAAAAACTCTAATATTATTTTGCTTCATAGGATCACTGATTTATCAAATATCCCCCACGCTCTGAGTCCATTAGTTGTTTTTCTTGCTTTTCTCTGGCTTCCTTCCTTCCTTTCCATCATCTTGTCTTCTATGTCACTGACTCTCTCTTCTGCCTCATTTACCTTAGCTGTAAGAGCATCCATTTCAGATAGCATCTCAGTTAAAATATTTTTAATTTGTCTGATTAGATTTTATTTCTGCACTAAGAGATTTTCTAGTATGTTTTATGCTTTCTTAAAGCCCACTTAGTAAGTTTATAATCATTATCCTGAATTCCAGCTCTGGCATTTTAATTATATCCATTTTGATTATATCTGTGGCAGAGAGTATCACCTATGGTTCTTTCTTTTGTTGTGATTTCCACCTTCTAGGCATTTTACCCAAAGAAGAATTAGACAACAAAATAAAAAATATCAACCACGAATCAAATGCAACACACACTATACAAAACCAAAGGGGTCAGTCTTTCACTGAAGACCCTCTGTGCCTCTTTGGAGGATGAAAATAAAAACGGCTGCATGCTGGTCTCCAGCCCTGGAACTCAAAGATCACAGCCCCTTCTCTTCAGCAAATCTTCAGGGATAAGCACGTTTCAGTTCTGTGTGTGCCAAACTGCAGACCCGTGTGGTGTGCACTCATGCTGATCCTCCTAGGGGAAGGTGGAGGGTCACCACATTTCCGCCCTTTGGAGGTCCCCCACACAGAGAATGGTCACCCGATCATGGTGCAGTTTGCAGCTTATGGCAAATTGAGCTGAGAGCCCCCTCTCTGTCTCACTGAACATAACTGGTTTCTCTGCTCTAATGGATTGGGAATTCTGCAGCCCAGGCACCCCTGTTCTTTCTGTGACCCCAAGGATCTTGAGACCACACTGTCCCACCTAGGATTCTGCCCCACTTTGCCACCTGAACACCTTTCAGGCAGGGACATCTCTCCCTGGAACAGACTTCTAAAGAGTCTGAATTTGCCCTTCAGGGCTAAATCACTTTCTGGTAGCCAGCTTATGAATGCTCCCTCCCCCTACCATTTATCTTCCGAATATACCCTCAGATTCATTTTTCTGCACCTCCCACCTTGCAAAAAGTGCCCACTTTTCTATTTGTAGAATTTCAGCAATTCTTTTCTTACATCTCAAGTTGAATTCATAGGTGGTCAGAATGGTGTGATAGTTATCTGGCTAAATTCAGGGACAAGATGAAATGAGGTCCCTTACTCTTCCACCATCTTGCCTCTCCCAATACATTTTTAATAACTAAATGGATCATTACTTTGGCTTCTAATTCTCCCACTTTATTCCATCTTTTCTCATTCTGCATGGCTATTCAGTGCTAATGAAAAATTATTCCCAGTGACTCTACACTTTCTCCAGGAAAACACCATAATCTTTTTCATGAAGTCCTAACATATTTCATGATAAAGTGCAGTCTTTCTTTCCCCTGACTGGAACCACCACTATCATACTTCCTGTTGCCTTGACACTCTACATGTTAAACTCAGTGACTTTACTGTTTAAAAGAATATGTTCTAATATATGCCACCTCCTTTTCTTTTTTCTTTTCTTTTCTTTCTTTTTTTTCCCACATGCTATTCTTTATCCAGAATTTTCCCTTTCAATCTGTCTGTTCAGCCATCTTGTAACCATTTTTCAAGTTACAACTACCACACCAATTTTCATTTACTTCTCCAGCAGAATTTTGCTCTTCCTGCTCTGGGATGTAAAAGACATTTTAATGCTATTTCATATGTATTGTACTATGTGCCTTATGTTGCTAAACTCTCTTTTTTTCCTAAGAATTATAATTACTAATGTGCTGAGATTCATCCAATCCTAGGTCATCCAAAAACCAAAGCCTTTGTAACTCATGGTGGAACCAATGGCATCTATGAGGCAATCCACCATGGGATTCCAATGGTGGGCATTCCCTTGTTTGCGGATCAACATGATAACCTTGCTCACATGAAGGCCAAGGGAGCAGCTGTCAGTGTGGATTTCCACACACTGTCTAGTACAGATTTGCTCAATGCATTGAGGATGGTCATTAATAACCCTTCGTGAGTAATATAATTTTTTTTCATTAATAGTATTTAGAGATAGGTTCTTCTATCAATGATGACTATGCATTTCATCCTATATTTAAGAAGCTAATTTTGAAATTTTAATATGTATAACTGATCTTAAACCTACCTTTATTCTCAACCAGACATTTATTGCAAAGTTGCTTTTTAACCCCATTGATTTAATGGGCTGCAACAATTTTCTATATGAGCAAATGCAAAAGTTATATATGGAATTGTAAGGACACATGTTAAAAAATATGATAGAATTCCTAGAATGAAATAATGAAGAATTTACAGTTATGTAAAATAACTTTTAATTCAGCACCCAAAATTCCAAAACTATTTTGCCCAAGAATTAATTTTGATTTTTATTTTAATATATTTTATAATATGTGATTTATGTACCATAATAGTTAAAGTACAAAAATCAAACATATGTAGTATTTTATGGCCTTTTGCACCAGACTTCTTTCACTTGGCATGTTTTCGAGTTTCACTTATTTGGTACTTTTGCCTTGCTGAATAATATTCTATGCTATGGGTATATTACAATCTATGTATTCATTCATCAGTTCATGAACATTTTGGTTATTTCCACATTTAGGAATTATAAATATTACTACATATGGTATTGTGTGAACAAAATTTGTCACTTCTTTTGGAAATGAAAGGAAATTTTTGGAAATTCTAGGAGTAGAATTGCTGGTCATATGTTAACTCTGTGAAGAACTGCCAAATTGATATTCAAACGAGACACACCATTTTACATTTCCACCAGCTGAGTAGGGGAGATCCAAGTTCTCTACATCATTACCAACACATGTTATCATCTGTTTTTTTTTTTAAGATTGATTTATGTATTTATTTGACAGACAGAGATCACAAGTAGGCAGAGAAGCAGGCAGAGAGAGAGGGGGAAGCAGGTTCCCTGCTGAGCAGAGAGCCCGATGCGGGGCTCGATCCCAGGACCCGAGACCACAACCTGAGCTGAAGGCAGAGGCTTAACCCACTGAGCTACCCAGGTGCCTCTATCATCTGTTTCATTACAGACATCCCAGTGGGTGTGAAGTGGTCTCTCCTGTGCTCTTGATTAGCATTTCCCTTAGAGTCCAAGTTATTAAGCATCTTTTCATATGCCAGTTGCCATCCATGTGTCCTCTTTAGAGAAATGTCTATTCCAATTCTTTGATAATTTTTAAATTTGATTTTTTGTCTAACCCTATTAAAGAATTTGTTATGTGTTATGAATATAACACGTTAACAGATATATGATTTGATAATGTTTTCTTCCATTCTGGTTGACTTGATTTTTCACTTTCTTGATGGTGTCCTTTGAAGAGAAAACTTTTTAAAGATAATAAGACAAAGAAATTTTCTATATTGCACAGGAAAAGAATGTGTGGGAATTTGTAGTGCCTAACACAGTAACCCCGAATTCAGTATTTTTTACTACTATCAGTAATAATTTTATATTAGGAGGGTATCATCTAAAGAAATACCAAAAAATGTATTATCAAGAAGATAATGGTAGAACAATGAATTAATAAAGTACTTTAAATAGATAAGAAAAAAAATATATGGCAGGTTGGAGAAATGGAACAAAAAATAGAATAAGAAAATAGGTAAAAGTATAAATATGCCAGCACTTAGATTAAATTTAAGCAGATTATATAAGTTAAAGACAAAGATTGTCAGAATGCATTTGAAAAACTACATACTGTTTAAAAGACATGTTCAAACAGAAATGTAGAAGAGGATTTTAAGTACAAAGGTAGAAAATGATCTATTTTAGCAGTAACGATTTAGAAAGATGTTGTGCCTACGCGACTATCAGACATGGTACTCCAGAATCACTAACAAAAATAAAGATACATATTTCATAATGATACATAGACTGATCTGTCAAAACAACACAAATTAGTACCTGGTGACACCTACTATGAAAATATCAAAAGGCAGCAGACATAGACAAAAGAACAAACAAATACACAACTCTACAGTCATAATACTGAGTTTTCAAACATCTTTCTCGATAACATAGGAAAAGAAGACAAAAAAAGAAAGAAAGAAAAAAGGAAGAAAAGAAGGATGGATGGGCGGAGAAGATAATGGAATGACTAAATTCCTAAATGATTTCAAGGACTCAATTTGAAATATAATCTATCCGACATACATATATAATATATAACACAACAGAGAATACATATATTTCAAGAATGGAATAGATATTGGAATTAACCATATGCTGGGCTATACACCCAGAGTAAGTTTGGAAAATATAAATCAACAGTATACTGTCCAGCCTTACTGGAATTCATGTAGAAATTGTCAAAAAGAAAGATAATGGAAACATCTCTAAATTTTGGAAATTAAGCAATATACTCCTGCATAATTCAGTCAGTAAAGAAGTTACAACCCTAAATAACCTTCTTCTCAGCAATTCCACTTTCACATTATATACAAACACAACTGTATAAACATGCAAATCTAAAGAAATACACAAGACTTTTATGACAGCATTAGTAATAACGACTAAAAAATTGTTAACACAAATGTCCATTGATCGTTAAATGAAGAAATACTCTGTGGTATTGCCAAACAATGGAATACTATACAGTAATAGAATTAATCGACAACTGTTAGACAAGAGACAAAGGAAATGAGTACTATATTATTATTCTGATACATAAATAATAAAACCTAATTTATGATGACCAAAGGGGTCAGGGAAGATGGGATCCTTCTGGGTAGCGTGTGATACTCTATATCAATATCTTAGTAGTAGGTGTATTATTACATCCACTTTACAGTTATATTCTAGCTAATTTTGAATTTATGAGCTATTCAGTTAAGACGATGTGCATTTTCTTATGTTATATATTTAAATGTTATTATGGAAAATATGTTTTAAATTCTAGGTTTCAAAGAGGAGCACACACACACACACACGCACACACACACAACCCAAATGTCTAAGGGTGCTTTGATAGTGTGGCCCAGAAAAGCCTGAGATGGAACACAGAGCTGGGTCATCTATCAAGATGTAGAAGCAGCTTTGGAGTGTTGCAGGGAGAAGTGTCCAGCAGAGAGACAGAGGGGACAGAAAGTGCAAAGGTGCTTAAGTGAGGACATGTTTGGCAACTTCAGTGAACTCCTAGCAGGCCTTTATACCTGCAACAGAGTGTACATGGGACAAAGTGACAGAAGGAGAGGTTGCCAGGGGACTGCATCTGTAAGATCCGATAGTCCAAAATCCATACCTGGATTTTATTCTAAAGGTAATGAGAAGCCAGATGGAAATTTTGAGCAGGGATGTGCCATGATCTGACATCAGTTCCCAAAATCGGACTGTCTACATGATGGAAAATAAAGAGTAGAGGGTAGACGAGTAGAGACAGGGACCAGTGAGGTGGCATTTTACTTACCATGACACAATTCCCTTTGCTCCTTCATGAGGTCATTCTGTAAGTGCATTCCCACCCTCTAATTTACAGCTGTTACAAGGGCCCATAGCATTTTCTCTGTTAGAAAAGATCAAACTATCCTCACTGCACTTCCATTTTCACTTCTTAGAATAGCTGGTGATGGGAAAATTCCAATTTAAATGCCAAATCTCCAGTGTGGATGCAAATAAAAAAACACACTGCTTCTGTAACTGTATGACATATATTTTGAAGCATTTGTATGGCACTTTTCAAAAACCTTTCATGGGAATTATGCGATTAGGCAAATGCGCTTCCTTTCAATGTCGGTATCTTTATGTTTCTGCTTTAGATACAAAGAGAATGCTATGAGATTATCAAGAATTCACCATGATCAGCCTATAAAGCCCTTGGATCGAGCAGTCTTCTGGATAGAGTTTGTCATGCGCCACCAAGGAGCCAAACACCTCAGGCCAGCCTCCCATGACCTCACCTGGTTTCAGTACCACTCTTTGGATGTGATTGGGTTCCTGCTGGCCTGTGTGGCAGCTGCTGTATTTGTCACCACACAGTGTTGTCTGTTTTGTTACCGGAAGTTTGTGAAAACAGGGAAGAAGGAAAAAAAGGAGTAGTTACATCGGGGGCCTCAAGCTGGTATGCCTCATAAATGGGACTCATCCAGTTTATTCCAGCAAGAAGCTGTGATAGAAGGTTTCTTCCTCCTGTGACAAAATGACTTTTCACCACTTAGCTTCTCAGATCAAAATCTCTTTTCAAGGGATTTACAGCCTATTTTAGAGTTAGAAATCGTGGGGCACCTGGGTGGCTCAGTGGGTTAAAGCCTCTGACTGCAGCTCAGGTCATGATCCCAGGGTCCTGGGATCGAGCCCCGCATTGGGCTCTCTGCTCAACAGGGAGCCTGCTTCCTCCTCTCTCTCTCCTCTTGCCTCTTTGCCTACTTGTGATCTCTGTCTGTCAAATAAATAAATAAAAACTTATAAAAAAAGAGTTAGAAATGTCATGCCAAAAGGAAAACTGGGAAAAAATAAATAAAATAAAAATAAAAATGTATGGGTACTTATTGAAACTTATTATACTAAATCAAAAGTCATCTTCCTCCAAAAATTATTGATCTTAACTGTGTTTCACACATTGGGTATGGGCACAAGAACATTATGAAAGCTAATCACAATATCTCTATTATTGTGCAAATACTCAGAATACGTTAACTTAATTTGGGGCCAGAATTTTCTAGTTTTGTCCTTTGCGAGAGTAACGACAGGTAGTTAAATTTGTGTAAAATGATTTACTCGTCCATTTTGTTTTGGGAGACCACTAATTCTCCAGAGTAAGATCCAGCCTAAGCTAAGGAGCCTTAGCCTCCTTACCTAAGAACAGGGCAAGTTCCTGGGTTTCATCCAGCTTGTCACTTTCCACCAGAACATATGTAAATTTAGAAATCTACCAGCTACCCCGTTTCCTATTATAAAACTGAGCTGCTCAACTGATTAAGCTTCTGACTCTCGGTTTCAGCAAAGGTCATGATCTGAGGGCGGTGAGATCAAGAGATCAAGTCCCAGAGTTGGACTCTGGGCTCAGCAAGTAGTCTGCTGAAAGTTATCTCCCTCAGCTTCTCACTCCCCCTGCTCTGGGGCACTCTCTCTCCAAAATAAAAAAATCTTCAAAAACAAAAACAAAACTGAGTTGTTTATGACAGAGTTCATTTCATTAGCTTATTCTCTTTACCTCACAGTCCTTTAAGAAGATTCACCTGGTGGCTTCCACGCTCATTCTACCCTTGGATAATGGATGCAAAATCTCACTTGTAGGTTGGATAATAGAGGACACGCTCCCTATAGGAACTTACTGAACTTTCACTCTCTCCTATTGAGAGAGAAGGGGCTGCCATGCCTACCAGGGAGGGAGTCATCACCTTGTAGGCCGAAGAGGCCCATTAGGAGGAGCACCTGACCCCCAGAAGCAGAGGCTGGTGGCCAGAGTCTGATGACTGGTTCTTGTGGCCCAGAAGGATGCCCAGGGGGGATGGGAGATGCGGCTCCAAAGCCCAGAGCGAGCGCTGCCTCATGGGGTGTGCACAGCAGTGGCACCTGGAGGTAGCCTCGGTGCTAGTAGTGGGCTGTCATAGAGTTGGCTGCCCCCAGACCTGTTCCAGTCCTCGGCAACCCAGCCCAGGCCCCCTGGACCCTGTGGACTACGACACAGCGGGAACGAACAGCCTGGCCCCCCAAGTGCTGCATGGCTGGCAACCTTGGCCAACCCAGTCTTTACAACCCCAGCCTGGCTGTGTGCCTCATTTCACCCAAAGGCATACATGCCCTACATGGTGCTTACCCGGACGCCGCTATTTCTAGTCTGCAACTGGGGCATGTGGCTAATTGCACAGACAACAGCACATTCGCTACCTGGTGTACATCTCGTGTGTGCTAGCTTCATGGCCTCTGCTGTGGGCCACTGCCCTGAGCTTAGAGGGTCTAATCACAGCCCAACACTCCTTCAGTGGGCCTTGTCATGGCTTCGTAATCCGCCAAGCACCTCCAGCAAAGACTGGTGACCAGCCGTGCAGATAAATGTCTTGGTACTTGGTGCCATTACTGAGATCCTTGCTGTCTGCAAGCTCTGAAAGGGTTCATGGATCACCACAGGTCTGGGCCTCTCTTGACACGGCAGCCTGCTCTTCTCTGATGCCTTCAGAGGACACTGCTGCTGTATTGAGCTGCGAAGCCACAGTCCCACATGCGGCTTTCAGGGAGCGGCACACAGTGAAGCTCTCTATGGCTCCTGAGCCATGGCTAACATATACTTAAGGTCAGCATGTTGTCTAGTAAGACATTCTTTGGCTTTTATTTCTACTTCAAGTGGTAGAATATATCCTAAGAAGTGTTTAAAATGTAAATTGTTTTACTTATCTGTGAAGAGGTCATTACAGTAAATATTCTTAATTAACGCCAGAGTGAGATAATTACTATTTAGCAAGCTAAGGAAATCACCTTTGTATTCTGTCAATTTCTCTTATAAATGGTTGATTTTTTTTAAATTAGCTTCAGGGTCCATCTTCGGTTGAACACATATAACACTTTATTTTATGGCCAGAACCCCAAGTACAATACTGAGATGAGGTGGAATAGTGACCATTCTAATCTCCTTCACAATCTCAGTGAAGACCTTTCACTGTTTCACCAATATTCCCTGGTATTGCCTTAGTGTAGATAAATATTCAATCAAATTAAGGAAATTCCCTTCTGCTAAAAAAGAAAAAAAAAAGAATCTCAGAAAACTATTTTTATGAAGTATAATGCAGAATGAGGCTTTCAAATAAAATTTTTTTAAAGATTTTATTTATTTGACAGAGATCACAAGTAGGCAGAGGGGCAGGCAGAGAGAGAAGAGGAAGCAGTATCCCCACCGAGCAGAGCGCCCAATGTGGGGCTCAATCCCAGGAACCCAAGATCACGACCACAGCCAAAGGTGGAGTCTCAATGCACTGAGCCACCCAGGCACCCTCAAATAAAATTTAAACATACTGTTTAACCATGCATTTCTACCTCTAGGAATCAGTCATGTAGAAATACACATGCACATGTTTATGGACAGCATATTCCCAGAAGTACCTAAATATCTATCAAACATACCTCCAATGAAAGACATAATGTATACAGTAATTACACAGAAGATTTTGTTACAGGCAATATTGTTGCATGTTCTTCACATCACATTGCTAAATGAACAAGTTCCAGAAAAAACATAAGCATGATACTCTCTTTTGGAAATAAAATAAAATACATGTTAATTTGTACAAACACAAAAGAAACATTCTGAAAGAACACCCAGAACATCAAATGATGGTAATATAGACATTTATACATGTCTTCATCTTTTGACATTTCACAACATGGTTTTCATGTGTTAATTATACTGAATAAAAAAAAAATCTGCTAATGAAATAAACATATGATTTCAAATAACAAGTTGCAAGATTTTGCTATTGTGCTATCAGGTTAGTAATGTCATTCAGAATACTTGAATTGACCAAAATCTGATATACCATCTATTGTTACAAATTTGGGCCCTTTATTCATGTTTAAGAAATCCTTCATCTAAAATATCTAGTAATAAATATGTTAGAATGTTTATTAAAAATTTCAATACTGGGGTGCCTGGGTGGCTCAGTGGGTTAAGGCCTCTGCCTTCAGCTCAGGTCATGGTCCCAGGGTCCTAGAATCAAGCCCCACATTGGGCTCTCTGCCCAGCAGGGAGCCTGCTTCTTCCTCTCTCTCTGCCTGCCTCTCTGCCTACTTGTGAACTCTGTCAAATAAATAAAATCTTTAAAAAAAAAATTTCAATACATGTGAAGATCTAAATGCACAATTATAAACGATTTTACTGTGTTTTTATGTGAATGTTTCATGAATTTTACAATAGCTTAGTGACCTCTGCTGGATGGATGCCAAAAGATTATAGAGTGATGGACATTGGGGAGGGTATGTGCCATGATGAGTGCTGTGACTTGTGTTAGACTTATGAATCACAGATTTGTACCCCTGAAACAATAACACATTATATGTTAATAAAAGATTATTTTATGGTAATTTTAAAACATGACTACAGATAGCAGCAACTTGAGTATTCCCTAATTATCACTAGATGTGTGAATGAAGATCCTTTGGATGATTACATCCCAGCCATTATATAACTGTAACCCACTGAGAAACCCAAGAATCAATGCAAAGAAACTACTGTCTGAGCCCAGCTGACACCCAGAACTATGAGAGATAACAATAAAAAGATTATTGATGTTGTAGGCCCCTACATATGGGCGCAGGTTCTTCTGAAGAGAAAGAACTCAGGAATGACATTTCTACATTTTTAAAAAATTATATACATGTGACAATATCAACAACTAAGAAATACCTTAAAAAAATGGGAGCTACAAATGTTACATTTTGAAAATAACTGTAGCTTAGAATGCACACAGCATACACCAGAAACACTCCCTGAAGCACTAGGCCTGGACAGTACAGACCTCTTCTTAATATAGCCATTACTCTTAGGAGCAGGAAACAAAACAGGCTTTCCTAACATAGAGAAGACAGAGACCTATACAGAATGCCAAGACAGCGATTCACCCTAAAAGTAATAACAATAAGACATCACAGCCAGGGATCTAATCAATACAGATATAAGTAATATGCCTGAACTGGAATTTAAAACAAGCATCATAAAGATACTAGCTGGGATCAGGAAAAGCATACAAGATACCAGTGAGTCCCTTACCACACAGATAAGAGCTAGTCAGAACAAAGCGGGGGGGGAGAAAAAGAAAAAGGCTCTAAACATGATGCAAAACCACCTAGATGTAATGACCACAAGGATGGAAGTGTCAGAAGAATGACTAAGTGATATAGAAGATAAAATTATGGAAAATAATGAAGCTGAAAAGAATAGTGAAAGAAAAATATTGGATATGAATGTAGACTTTGGGAACTCAGTGACTGCAGAAAGTGTAGTAACATTCTTATCATAGGAATCCCAAAGAAGAAGGAAGGGGAAAGGGGGCAGAGGTTTATTTGAGTAAAGTATAGCTGAAAACTTCCTTAATCTGAGGAAGAAAGCAGACATCCAAATCCAGGAGGCACAGAGAGCACCCAACAAAATCAGGCCATCATCAAGACCTATTGTAATCCAATTTGCAAAATATAAAGATAGGGAAAGAATTCTGAAAGCAGTGAAGGAAAAGAAATCCCTAAACTAGAAGGCAAGACAAATCCAATTAGCA